CACACTGCACCCATTAGGTGTGAATATACCCACATCCACCCCCCACTATTCAACTCCCCCACTGTTCAACACCCAATCAATGTTACTACTACGTGTGCACTTAAGTGTTGTTCAGCTAAGTCCATTAATACCAATTTGATGGAGAGTACATGTGGTGCTTGTTTCTCCATTCTTGTAATACTTCGCTTAGTGGAATGGGCTCCAGCTCTCTCCAGGATAGTACAAGAGGTGCTAGAGTAGAATTGTTTTTGTGGCTCAGTAGAACTCCATGGTAACCTATACCAGATTTTATTAATCCCCTCATGTATTAATGAGCACTTGGGTTGTTTCCACAAACAATTCACATTGTTTCCACAAACAATTAACACTGTTATAAACATTCTAGTGCAGATGTCTTTTGAATCTGAAAATTCATCTACATGATTCTAGGAAATGAGTTTATCAGTATAAAATTAAATTTGTGGCAGCCTACTTAGACTTGTGCTTTACTATTTGATCATTACTGTCAAAAAGCCTTCTGTGACTCTCTCTCCCCCTTTGAAAGAAAGCTGCCTTTTTTTCTTTTACCATATTGATATTAACACGCCAGAATATAATTTAGATGTATGCTATCTTTATTCCAGCAAAATAAGGAAATGTCAGTCCTTTAGAGCTCTATTCCCTCTTTCCTCATTTTGTGCTTCTTATAGTTATACATATGACATCCATACACATTAGAAGTTCAATAAAGTACATTGTTGCCAGCATATTCATCTTCAGAGAATAATTTCACTGATTTCCATAGAGGGTACACAAAGGTACCCTCCCACCAGCAATGTATGAGGTTCCTGTTGTTCTATATCTTCACCAGTACTTGGTATTTAAGACATTTCAATTTACATCCTTCTAGTACATGTGTACCCGTATCTCACTGTGATTATAATTTACATTATCATAATTAATGAAGCTAAACCCCTTGTCATATGTTTATGCGACATTTCACTATTCTGTCTAGAGAAATGTCTGCGTAAGTCTGACCATGTTTCCAATAGATTTGCTGTATTAGTTAGATTGATACATACACATTAATCATATATATGCATATATCATTGTATTTCTACATGTACGTATGTGTATGATACATCACAAATATGTCAATCCACCTAAAATATACATATATACAACAGATGTATAAATAAATGTGTATCATATGTAGAGAGACAGAGACACACAGTCAGAGAACCTTTATAATTTCTCCCTCTGGTTTCACTCTCTTAGTGACATGCTTAGTTGAACAGCGTTCTGAGTTTTGTTTGTTTGTTTGTTTGTTTGTTTGTTTTAACCCTTGACACAACCTTTATTTTTTATTTATTCATTTTTAAAATAAAAACAAATTCTCACTACTGGGCATTTACACAAAGAGAATAAAAAATTTTATTAAGAAAACAACTGCAGTCGAATTTTTATAGCAGCACAATTCGCATTTGCAATGATATGAACAGTTTTCTTTTGGTTCTCTTTTATCCACTCTCAAACTATCTGATCTTATGTCTTTAAGAAAATATATATATTTTTTTAAATCTAGATTTAATAAGGTTTCTTTAACTAGTATGTTTAGCCTATTAATGGTTATGTGGATTTCCGGGTTTCTTTCTGGAATCATTCCTCTCCACCTGAAGATCACTGATTGCTCTAGCAGTGCAGGCAGAAAGACAATGAATTCTCTTAACTTTTGCTTCTCTAAAAACATATTTATTTTGCCTTCATACTCAAAGGACATTTTTCCCCCTCACATACAGAATCCTAAGCCATCTCCTGTCCTCTGTTCTTTCTGTCAGGACTGGAATTAGGGTAAGGCAAATGAGGCCCCAGGGCACAAATGTTGAGGGGCAGCAGAATTGTCTATAGTCAGGGTACATTGCTGAGACCTGTCTCAGGAAACAGGTAGACCAGATGGCCTGTGGGCAGCAGGCCTGGGTCCTGGTGAGGGGTGGGGTGAGGGCAGGCAGCACAGGGGTGGGGGAGGCAGTGTTCTCAGGCAGCAGGGCTTAGCACTCCGCAGGGCCCTCAGGACAGGGCTCTCAAGGCCTGCAGGCTTCAGGGGACAGAGAAGCTCACCTGGGCCGCTTTTCTCTGGAAAAATCACCTGTAAAAGTTGCAAGAATGTGTTTAAATATGAGTGAGTCAGGGTGCAGTCAGCTGGGCGCTGTCCAACTTTAGCAGCTTTGAGGTGGCCCCCGTGGTGGATACGGGATTCTGAACCCTGAGGAAAAGCCCTCGGCCTCCCCAAGTGGATGCTGGTATCTCTGAGGAGACAGTGCACCCACACCTGGAAACCCAAACCTCTGCCTCTGAAACCAAGTGCAGCTGCCAAGGTGAAGAGCTTTCCTGGGAGGGGAGAGATTACAGACACCAGCAGGGAGCAAAGAGGCTTCTCCTGCTCTTGTCCCCCTCTCCCTCTACTGCCCTCTGTTGGCAGACTCTAGCAAGGAGACGCTGCAGAGGAGACATGAAGTCCAAACTGGCAGCCCTGGCCTATCCAGACAGGGCATGGAGAAGGAAGAGGGCCCTTTGCCTCCCATGTGTATTCCCTGCGCGTTGTTAGATGCGCGTGTCCTGTCCTCAGGATGGGGCCTGTGAGATTTAGATCTGAGAGAGTGAGGAAGATTCCAGAATGAGAAAGGACCTGCGCTCTGCTGAAACTCTGACACATAGAGGGGATGGAGGATAGTGAAAGTGACTACTAAGGCTCCTCTGGGCCTTGTAAATATGTTCATTTTGTAAACTGGATATTTGTTTCGGGAGTCTGAATCAAAATTACCAAAAATTGATTTAGAATGAGAAAAATTATAGTGAAATGAAGAATATGTCTCATAAAGTTTATGCACAACCTTGTACTTCTCTCCATTATTTCAGTAGGGATGTTGTGATGACCCAGACCCCACTGTCCCTGCTGGTCACCCCTGGAGAGCCGCCTCTATCTCACACAGCGTTGGTCCTATTGGAATTGTTACCTGCAGAAGCCGGGGCAACCGCCAAGGTGCATGATTTATAACTTTACCACCTGGGATTCTGGGGCCTCAGACAGGTTCCGTGGCAGCAGGTCAGGGACAGATTCACGCTCAAAATCGACAGGTGGATGGAGCTTGAGGATTTAAGAGTTTATGATCTCATGGGAACTACAAAGTTTCTTCTCACAGTGGTGCAGCCCCAAACAAAATCCTCCCTTCTTTGTTTGTCCCAGCTGCCCATATTTGTTCCTTCACTGGGGAGCAGACAGAATGTATTCTCTGAATCTGTGTAAGAGGAAGATGTTGGAGACCTCAGGGGAACAAGTTGCAGCTGGACCATGAGTTCCTACCTACAGCTCAGGCACCATACATGGGACCACATCGACTGTGTCAGCCTGAGCATAGCAGAACGTGCAGCAGATTAGAGGGGTCCAAGTGCCCTCTGAGCAACCAGACAGGAGGAAGGGAGAGCTGACTGCATCCTCTCACCTGAAGCTGATCTTAATCCTCTCTCCTTTGCATGCATTTGTCAATTACATTCATTTAGCAAAACAGTCAACCAAACGAGGATGATTTATGACAACAAAACAGTGGCACATGTTTTGATATTTCCTTGGCTTAGCAGTAACTAGTTTATACAACCAAATAATATTTGGTGATGATAACATCTGTCTTTACCCCTTCACCACTTGTGTCTTACCCTTTGGGCACACTTCTCCCTCTAGAACCAGAGCAGGCACAGGGCTTTATGCTGCTGTTCTCAGGGGAGTGGCCAAGAATAACATTTCACAGTCTTGGTTTTTTCACTAATAGATAGACTTTGGCAAAATCTATTTAATAATGAAAGTCTAGTTCCAGAAGTCTTTGAACACTCTCAGTCAAAATGGGTTGAAGTAAAGAATGGTGTTGTCTGAATTCCAATGCTGCATTTTTAAATATGCAAACAAGAACAGAGTCTGAATGAATTAGTGAGTGTAGTATGCCACATTCAACAGAATTTTGATAAATCAAGATACTATGTAAGTCAATAATTGACTGACATCGAAGAAGAATATGAAGCCCTTGGGCAGAGGATGTAAATCAGAAGAGGATCAAGTGGTGGGGATCAGCTGTAGGCACAGCGCATAGTTCTGTGGCTCATATGTTGGGGTGTTAATGCTGGTGGGGAGGGGTTGAGATATGAACCCAGATGGAAGCTCTGATGTTTGACTCAGGAAGAATCACAGAGTTGAAGGAACACCTGCCTGGCACTAACAGTGCCACTGCAAGCTCACGGAGAGTGGCACATCACATAGGGCTCTAAGGCTTTAAGGAAGCAAGAGTTTGTGAGGTTCCTGCCTAAATGCACCTTAGGTCATGTCACACATTCCTAGTGAACCGAGGAGGACATAGGTGACCTTCCAAAAATGGATTCTGCCCTCCATATACACCCGGGGATGAGTGGTCTCATTTGTTCTCCCACTGGGGAGGATGGTCACTCAGAAGAGACCATGTAGGTAGATGAAGACGTTTTGGACCAGAAGGCTGAGCGGGATCTGGGAAGGTGAGCAGGAGATGCAATGTTTGTGCCCCAAGAGTCACATTTGGAAACAATTGACAGTATGTTGAATACGTGGAAGTCCCACCCTCTATGATCTTATTATACATTCTTTATAAATAAGGGTATTCTGCTACATATGCCCAATACAACTTTGAAATTCATCACCTTACCTAGTCTACATATCCAATTCAACTTTTAACAATAGGTGCCCCAAAATTTCCTTTTTAACAAAATGTCCTCCAGGGAAAAAGACATGATCTACAGGTGAATCTGTGCTGCCCTGGACTGACCTAGGACACTGGGGACACTGGGCCTGTCCTGAGTCACTGACATGAGCCAGCCCTGCAGCTGTGCCCAGCCTGCCCATCCCCTGCTGATTTGCATATTCCCACAGCACAGCCCCTGCCCTGCAGACTTATCAACAGGCTGGTCACACCCTGTGCAGGAGTCAGTCCCCGTCAGGGCACAGTATGGACATGAAGGTCCCGACTCAGCTCCTGGGGCTCCTGCTGCTCTGCCTCCCAGGTAAGGAGAGAGACCACCAGGAATGTTCTCAGCCAGTGTGCTCAGCACTGCCTCAGGGAGGTCTTCTTATAATATGATTAATTATATGAATATTTGTTTTCATGTTTCCAATCTCAGGTATCAGATGTGACATCCAGATGACCCAGTCTCCATCCTCCCTGGCTGCATCTCCAGGAGAAACAGTCACCATCTCTTGCCGGGCCAGTCAGGGCATTAATAAGAATTTAGCCTGGTACCAGCAGAAACCAGGAAACGCCCCTAAGCACCTGATTTATGGAGCATCCAACTTGCAATCTGGGGTCTCATCGAGGTTCAGTGGCAGTGGGTCTGGGACAGATTATTCTCTCACCATTAAAAGCCTGGAAACTGATGATGCTGGAACATATTACTGTCAACAATATAATAATATCCCTCACACGGTGTTACAAGCTCGAACAAAAACCCCCCAGGGAAGCAGATGTGTGAGGCAGGGCTGCCCCAGCTGCTCCTCCTGGAGCTGCACCTCCCGGTGCCTCCATCTGCCCAGAGCTTTTCTTAGAGACAGCCAAGTTGTGAAGGTTTTGGTAGACAGGGCCAGGGAGTCCCCTGTGCATTCTAACCCTTCCTCAGTCTCAGCAGTGCAGACATGTCAAAGCCTCTCCTGAGTTAATAACAGACAACAATTATGGTACCTGAGGATCCTCTTTTATGGCATCAGTCAGGGTTCATACAGCAAAATACAAGCCACTCTACAGATTTGAAGCAAGAATTGTTTTAATACAGGAAATTAGAATTGGAAGTACAATCCTGGGCGTAGGGTAGTCAGGGAAGCTGATGCTAGAAACAGGGGACTCTCTGGTGGTCTGACAGTAGCCAGAGTCTCTCTGCCACTGATGTTATGAGCTGCCTGGCCATGTGGTCCTCAGACCGGTCTTGGAGGCTCAAAGGTGGAGGTGCTGATGTTCTCAGCTGATGCAGCTCCTCACCAGGGGATCCTCCACTGCTCAGTGTGTCCAGGTATCTGCCCGCAGGTGTCAATGAATATTGAATCATCCTCTTCTGACATTCAAATATGATAGGAGGGCACCTGGTTGAGTAACTCTACAAGAAACCACAGAGAGGAAAGCAGCTTTGGGAAACGTGCTTCCAGAAATGGTGGTGGTGTTCGGATTGAATTCTGACAGCCACATAAAGTCAATATTTGCCCAAATCTCAGAACTTTTCAGGTATGTGATGGCCTCAGAATGTGCTTGAATGTGCTTCCACACATTAGTAGCAAGTATGGGATCAGTGAAAGCAATTTTTCTTAAGTCACAGAGTAAACTGAAAGATAAGAAATTAGCCTAGAATCTATACCACCATGAACAAACAAATGAAAAACCTTTCTTGGCTAAACAAACAAGAAAACCTAAGGTGCTACAGTTTAAGTTTTCCTTGATATGGAAACTTTGCTGCTCAACATTTTTCCTGATGCCAGCTGCATCATCAACATGACTGTGAGCATGTTACACATGCCAAGTAGCAAATGCATCTTAGACACACTGAATGACCATCTTCATTGTAACAACTTCACAGGTAATCTACAGAAGTTTTAAGGAGCTATGGGTTCAAGGACATTTAACTTTAGTAAAGATATTTCTTTTCCCAATGAGGAAAGCCTTATGTTGAAAACACATCCAGCTTTATTTCTATTTAATGCAAAATTACATTTGAAAAGTATTTTAAGTTGTAAAAATAAAAATTATGAAAAACCTAATGTTTTTCCATGCACAATTACCTTGAAAATTAAATGCAGTAAATAATTTTAGAGACTATTAATTAATAAAGTAAAAGAATAAATTAAAATTGTATGCACCTCTGTTTAGTGATGATTGGACTTACATTTGCCTCCTTAACCTGGTTTTGCGATGTTGTTCAGTCCTGCTACTTTGCCCTACAATGTTCTGCCTTGAGTGGGCACTAACTTGGCTCCACATCAAACACAAGCCATAGCCTGGAGACAAGCTCAGTGTCCTGCAGTAGGACCTCCCTGCTGACCACCTTGATTGGCTAGACAATTGTTAATATGAACATCCATGTACATGAAAATAAATGCTCAGTGTTATTAGCCATGGATTTTTGAGACATTTAACTCATATATGTAAATTTCCCATAAATGAGGCACATTTCACTCTTTTTATTCAAATATTATTTTGTTTCAACTTCCTCTTAATATATTTCTAAATGGACTACCAAATGGTCATATTTATGCCATCAGTTTTAATTTAATCCATCTATCTATGTGGCAGTATGTGTACATATTATATTGACCAGCTTTAGCCCAGGTGATGGAGTCAGTAAAAGCTATTAGCTCAGCCTATCGTAGAATTTCTGTGCAGGTCACAGAATATAATCTGTGTTTTCCTGTCTTATAAATCATCTGAATTCAGTGAGATGTTGTGTGGCACATGCCTGCTAGGAACAAAATAGAAGCCTGTCTACTCATTTCTGTCTGTCTACACCTTGGTACATGATTGGATCATGTTGATCAGAACTTTATTTTGCAAGAATGACTTCATTTGGTGCCTAGCAACCTTTCCCAAGGGTCCTGAAGCTGCCACAAAGAGGAACACCCAATTGTCCCCAGGAGTGTGTGTGTGCACACATGACCACCATGACACAGAGGAGCAGGACCTGGCTCTGACTCCTCAGCTACTGACCTCATTTCCCAGAACACAGATGTTTCTGACTGTGCAGGCAAAGGACTCTTCCTGTGACGGTCCTCTAATCTCCTCTCCACTCCGATGCTCACAGCGCAACCCCCAGCACAGACTCAGGCTCTCTTCTTTCTAACACTTTTGAAAACTTCTATGCACACTCCTGAACCTACAAAACCACTCTACAAATCTGCTGTTTCCCTAAACTAGTTAAACTCTTTTCCTTTCTCAATCTTCAAAAATAAAGACAAAGTAAAAACATACTCTTGATGAACACAAATCATGAGAAATGATTACTTTCAGACATACTCTGCAAGAAATGTAAGAGGAAATTCTTGAGAATTACAGGAGATGACAACAGACAACAACCTCAATCCACGGGAAAGAAAGAGGGCCTCAACAACAGGCAAGAAACAAGAAAGAAACGAGAAACAACAACAAAATGTTTACTTTAACTTATATGACATTCAGGTTCAGGAAGAGACATACTTGGGACAGATGTCAGAAGGACAGTCACACCTTCCTCCCTCCCCCCCTCCCTCCCTCCCCCCC